ATAGTAACTGAAATTTATTGCACCTATGAAACATCTAATATATGTAATGAAAAAATTGTTTTTTCCTAGCCTGTAAAATTTATGAATACCTTTCGTGTTCCTTAATTAGAAGAACACATGAAGTGAATACAGTAGAAATAATTTATCATACACAATAGCCATAGTACGTTAAAATAATGTTTCGAAAACCATTTTGATTTGTTTCTTCGAAATTTCAAACTGCCAATCAAATTATAAAAATATGTATATTTATGGAAAGATAAAACTTCAAGTCAGAACAAAATCTGTTACAATTGATACATTTGAAAGATCGTTACAAACAAGTTTCATACCTCTGAAATGATATACAAAACGATCCAACCGCTACATTTCAACCAGACATGTTACATCCAACCGCGAATATGCGACCGCACCAATCGTTTCCGCGTGCAAGTTCATTAACACCTTCATTTCTGATGGGATTTTCATTACCCACGTATGCTATATGCTAACAAATAATTTTCTAAATGTAATTTGACAAAAGAGACACTCTCAAAAAAATTGTTTCATTGCTAAATAGTCGAGTAATCAATAACTTTCTACTACAAAAAATTTCAAACTAATGTCCTAAAAAATTTACCTCTGCTGAGTTACTCGTCGTTAATTTTGACTCTAAAAGAGTCACCGAGATTAAAATTAAAATTATATCTACTATTTAACAAGAAAATCGTCACAATTCAAAATAGAGCTGTTTTAACCCTTTCTTTGAAATAGTAAGCAATGCACATAAACAGTATTTTATTAGGCACCTTGAAAACGCAGACTATCAGTTAAATTGGAAAAGCTAAATGATTTAGTAATTAATACCTTTCTACCACAAAAAAAAATTTCAACCAGATTTCCTGAAAAATTTACTTTCCTCAGTTATCGCAGCAAACCGCTAAAAAAATTCTCCTCGAACTCGACGATTTTTAATTCGCATCTCCCAAGGCGCGACTCACAGATCCTAGACGTCCACTCACAACGAACTCTCTGTTGAACCGTCAAAAAACCATTCAAGCCAGATCCGTGAATGTTCTCTTTTAATTATCCCGCAGGCTGTTCCTGAGAAAGGGGCCTAATTTAACGATCATAATGGACTCGGACGTAAAGTTCGCCGCCGAAAATCCGGTGATCTTCTCCGCCCAGTTTTCCATTCTACCCGCCCAGCTGGCCGCCGAACGTTACCGTGGTTTCTCCCCGTCCTCCCCGTCCGAGTGTCCGTTGGAGTGCACGGTGAGGAACGATCGAAGGTCCTGTAAGCTCACCTCGCCGGGCTACCCCGGCGTGTATCCGCGTGGAATCAGATGCAGGATCGCCCTGGAGTCGAGCACGGGTCGCTTTAAAATCGGCGGCCAGCCGGACGACCTTTTCGATCTGATGAATCGCACGTCGCAAAACAACTGCCAGACGGAGAACTGCGAGAAACATGTGGAGATCGTGGCTGAAGCGGCAAGGACGACGAGGGTCGCGAGATCGTTGGGACGGTATCTGCCGGAAGATATCCCGGCGAATAGACGAGCTAGGAGTCCTGATCACGAGGAAGAGCTGGAATTTATCATTGGTCAGACGTCGCACAAGGCTAGAAGGGGCAGAAATAATCGGAGAAGACTTAAGAAAGCGAAGGAGGATGGGAACGGATCAAAGGGTCGGAACTCCCGTGGAAAAACGACGGACGAGGATATTCGGAGGAGTAACGGTCGTCGAAAAGAAATCACCGAACAGTCTTCCGCAGACGCGTTCCACGGGCTGAGAAGCGGCTCGAGGCAATCGAACAGTTATCGCGATCAGGGAATCCGGCCAGAATCCATCCAGAAGCGACTTCGTCACCCGCAGCGCGTGCATAAGAAGTCCATGGGCTCGATAAGCCCGAAGAGGAATTCTGATCATGATCTGCGAGATATATCGGACGCGAGGATCATGCCTGACGGGACGGGACACGAGATTGCGAGGAAAGGCTTGAGCCAGGAGAAGATCACTGCATTACAGGTGAGTTATCCCGGTGAATTTATTTCAGACGACACTTTCGGGACGGGGATATCTCGACCGTTTCGATCGGGTTGACGATGTTTTGATCGATCGACTTGCAGTTGAACGACTGTGCTCGGGAATTACGGGATACGTTGGTTATGTTAATTAGCAGATGTGTTCGAGTCTGTTGCTCGTGATACACGAATTAGACGAGCGAGCTTGAAAGATGTTTAAAACATGAATTCAGGGATTTGGATATTGTAATTGGGAAATTGAAATGGTGAACAGAAAAATAAGAAATAATTCTTTTAGTGGAGAAGGATGCAAATTTCATGCTCAATACGGTGGTAAATGTTGCGACTTCTAGAATAATTTAGGGATATTGAAAGATAGAGCTAAAATTAAAGTGAAGTGTCAACTTGATGAAATTTAAAGGTCAGCATCTTGGTTATTAGCGACCATAGTTGGCGATTATTCTATATATCACAATAATTGCTTAATATGAAAATTTATTTTCCTTCGAAATCTATAGAAATGGTAAACGCTGAAATTTCACAGCGTTCAAATCTCCATATTTTCCTATTGTACTAAAAATTCTCACTTCTGGTACTTACATCGTTTACCATTTCAACACCTCAATTACAAAAATCTAAAAATTTGGATCTCAGACTTGCACCTTTATTTCGGTTACAACGAGAATGTACAGAAATGAGAAATATTACACACTTACACAACGTGTGCCGTAAGTCGTGGACCAAACGGTCTCAGAAAGATTCTATACTTCAAAATAAATCGAAACGATAGAACAACGCTTTGTCGTACCAAGCTTCATTCTTCTAAAACAACAACTTTGAAAATCCATCGTTTAAAAGTCGCTAAAAAAAAGTGTTCTAAAATCGCCCCAGTCCCTCTAAAATCACGAACTAAATCACACCCTTCTTTCCTTCATCTCGGCGGAATAGAAGTTCGAGCGGAATTGCAGGAATTATTTTGCAAGTACCGTTCCGCTTTAATTTCTCCGCGAAGGATGCACCGGTAACTGGCAAACTCTCGCTAAACAGTTCTCGCGAAGTTTCCCTTCAGAGAGTAAGTTGATTAAACGTTCCGTTTCGAGTGTAGCAAGTGAGGAATAGGGTAGAAGAGCACAACAGCACCGGGCGCGGTGCAGACAATACGATTTAACTCCCGTAAAAGTCAGACGGAATAATCATTTTTTCCCTCTCTCTCTCTCTCTCTCTTCCCGACAAGGTCCCCGACTATCGATACGCGAGAAAGGGTCGACTGCTGGATAAGTTAGGAAGCACCAGTTGCGTGGGAGATTATCTGACGTTATTGGAGAACGTGAACGGGAAGATCATCGAAATCTCGAAGTTCTGCGGCGAGGGTCACGTGCCGCGGATTCTCTCACGGGGGAAGAACATTATCGTGGAGTTCTTCGCTGAACAAGACGGCACGGTAATGCACGACGGTTTCCAGTTGTCGTTTCAGGAAACAGAGGAGGTACAGCTCGGTGTGAAACACGACAGAAATTGCGAATTTGTCTACAAAAGCACGGAACGGACAAGGGAGAATATCAAGTCGTTGCAGAGCTGGTATCCGCCGAATACGTTGTGCAGCTACAAGTTCATGGGCAGATACTCTGAAAAGATCTCCGTTCATATGAAGATAATCAGAAACGAACCGGACCAGGAATACGCGCCCCAGAAACGGAACTTCAGCCTGAATTACTGCTCCGGGAATGAGATTGCAGTTTACAATGGGATAGAGGTGAGTAACCATTGAGGCAGAGCAAGGAATCAGCGAACTGTGCGGTGAACTTAAAAGGTTCATTGTCGAGGTTGTTTTATTTCGTCGTTCTAATTTCCTTCCTCAGTAGTTTTCCGGTACTTCCAGCGAAATTTTCTAGCTGAAGTGCAGGATTTCAAGTGTTTCTCGTATCTCTGCAGGTTGAATTTCATTTAATACATTGTCTAACGTTAATTTTTCAAAAGAAATTTCGTTAATTCGTAAAGCTTCAGACATTTCTGTCTGAAAGATTAAATAAACGATTACTTATTTCTCATATTTCATACTTTTTATTTGCATCACGATACTAATCTTAACGTTACAAACGTAAATATTAGGTCTACCGGAAAGTTCTGTCCGATAATGTCATTACCACAATTATTGTGAACCCACAAATTACCATCATCATTAGTGTCACATGCGTAACAGACGCCGCTTTGGTTGCCGAACAATAACATCGGTATTTTCAATAGACAGCACCTTCTAAAAAGCGAGGTCTTAGCCGGCATGGGCAAATTACTTTATCACACCAAAAATTCGACGACTCTCACACCTGGACACCACATGCCCTAAGACAATAAAACAGACCTTCGACATCACCAATTTTCAGACAAGCAATATAACAAATGTAAGAACAAATTCCCCACTTTCACACCACCACCAGACACACCCCAAACACACCGAAAAAACCAATCACCACCTACGACAGTTTTCACACCACCAATCACAACACACACGTAGTTTATAAAATAGCGAACGACACACAATTTTCCGATCAGTAAGCCTAGACATTTCGCGCTCTGTTCACGTTGTGCGTTAATAATCTATCTTCCGAGCACTACCTGAGTCCCCTATCCCGAGTAGATTCCTTAAATGGTCTGACTCAAAAAGAGGGACAATTATCGGTTTCGCAACAAACGATGGAAATAATATTGTTCAGTAAATATTAATAAATATATCGAAAATGTATTATTTTCTTTTAATTAAAAAACGGACAGAACCTTCCGGTAGACTAATATTTATTTTTACCACAGAATAATATTTAACCACGGTACTGAACGAAATAACAAAATACGCTTTGCTCGTGTTTTTTATTCAACTAAAAACACGATTTGCAACATTTAGAAATATTACAACGTATAAAATTTGCAAAAATATAAGGGTAAATATGAATTCTTATCGGTAGAAAGGGTTGCATTAATTTAATTTTAATTTTATCTATTTTCAGTCACAGTATCATCCTTCCGTTCCTACTTCACATTAATTTCATTCATCTGCTATTTCTCTTGCAAACATCCCCCGTTAAATTTCACGAAAATTTTGTTCCACCGTGGGTTTCATTATTTCAAAACAACACGTGTAACTCTTTCACCACCATCTTTTTCATCCGAGAAGACACAATTCCTGTTATGCTAATTACACATCCCGGTGATTTACACTGTCACGACGTATACATATACGACTATCGAATTTCCAGGCGAACAACAGCGTCCTGATGTGGTCCTACTGCGACGTGTCCCACCAGGACATTAATAACATACAAGTTCCTCTCACCTCCAGCGGGAATGAATTGTTAATACAATATTACAGCGCGAAGGGCTCGTACGATGGTCAAGAGTTCACTTACACGATATCGTACAGGTTCATGAAGAAATCGCTCAACTCCACCACTAGACGTCAGGTGCAGGACGATTTCAAGTTGATCTCGCTGAGACCGGTGAACTTTTCAGCGTTGAATTTGAACGAGAGCGAGAATTGCAACTGCGATTTCGGCGACAGAATCGGCAGTTTCAAGAACTGGTTCATGGTCCTCGTTGTCCTAGGTATCGTCTCCTTTCTCGGCGCCATTCTCACGATAATAGCGCTCCTGGCTAAATGCATAAAAATGCGATCGATGGAGAAGAAACTGTTGCAAACGCCGAAATTGTGAATGAACATTTTGTACGATTTTCTATCTGCACGAATAAAGTAATACCTTTTTTTCTTTGTACGAGGAACGAAAGATGATTATCTAACGATGTATAGATTTATGAGGATTGATCTAATCGATGGTTTTTTTTTCTTTTGGTGTTTTGTACGTTCGTTTGTATTAGGTTGGTAGAAAAATAATGGTTTTCTGAGATATAATTTGCATTTTAAAATTAAGTTTGTATTAATGGAACTGTGAAACTAATCTGGATATTGTTTTCGGTACAAGTTTCTTTGTAGTACACGTATGTATGGGATAACGATAAATTAAGGGTGGAAATTGATATATCCGTAGAATTTATTGAGAAAATGAAAGTCCTAGATGCATCTTTTATTTTTCAGTTTCAGTTGGTTCAACTTTTTTACCCCTCAATCACCCTGTATCAAACCTTTTACATATTGCAAAGCACTCGTTGCTAAATATCGATAATTAAGTACTTTCGTTTTTGCAAAAAATGTTGTCTATACTCTACTAATGAATGTGCAAGAATAAAGAAAATGATTGTCGTAACGTTGCGATCAATTTTCTACTCGCAACATAAAATTCTGTGTAACGTGTTTATTTTCGCAAAGGTAACTACTGGAAAATCGAAAATTGAGAACTGTGTAACTGTTGCGAATTAATCTCGATAGAAATAGAATCTATGTACGCATAATAATCGACAAAATGTAGCAAGTATAACGTAGAATAGGAGAAGAGCCATTATTTTTGCACCAATGCAATACGTATTAACCCTTTGCAATCGAGTGGTGACTGAGAAGCGACGTTCAATAACCGTCACTTGGTAAATAATTAATGAAGACAGAGAGCAGATCTATGGGCCTTCGTAAATTTGTTTATCATAGTGAAATAGAAAAGTTTCTTTATTTCTACGTTAGTTTTTGAAAATTTCAAAGATCCGATTTGCAACCTTTCCTACAGCAAAATCACCTCCGAGTGCAAAGGGTTAAATTCTCTTCAATCTTCGCTCGAAAAAGATATCATTTTTTGCATCCATCAGACAGTCGTCGAATTTAAAAACACGAACAATTAAACGCTTTGCTGCTCGGGTGCTATTTCCCGCACTCTCCCTTAATCCTTAATTTCTGTTCTTCGCACACCTCCACCAACGAGACAATTTTTCAAAACGACGCAGCAGCTGAAATCTGCCGCAGCGGAAGGGTGAAAAACTTTGCGTCGCGTAAAAAAATATCGCGAGAAAGTTGAAGGTCTCACCGAGATTTGAACTCGGATCGCTGGATTCAGAGTCCAGAGTGCTAGCCGTTACACCATGAGACCTTGACCGTTTTTCCAACGAGAGCAGAGTTAGCCTGCGTATTGTAAATAAAAGAAACCGCGTACATCTGTATGTCTATGTTTGAAAATCGATGGGACACATCGAGGACGGTGGACGGTGATTGAGATTGGTAGATCGATCGCGGAGATCTGTCGTATCGAAGCATGTAAATACCCATCATCCTCGACATATCTGATTAGAAGATAAGAAAATCGTATTGTTGATGTGAAAATGAGAGAGCGAGAGAGCGATACAAGGAACGCGAGAAGTTTGCACGCGGTAAAAATAAACACGATGTATTTGTCTGTTAGAAGATGTAAGGAAATATCGTCGCTTGAGGAGACACCTTTTTTTTTTTGTTGGTGATAATAAGAAGTAATTACTCCTTCGTTACGGTGTCTCGTATAGCTTAAGTGTTATTTTGCAAGAGAGAAGGAACATCGCTTGTGTACAATAAGATAATCAAACAAGGACGTGTACATTTGCAAGCCTGTGTAATATAATTCGTTCTTTCGTTATAAACATATCCTTCCAAAGAAAGTCAGAGGTTTCTTCGCAGCACGAATGCTTTTCGATCATTTGGTGCTCGGAACCTCGAGTATTCCGGTCTGAAGAAATTGCTTGGAACGTAGTGTAAATTGTCGTTAAGGATTGCAAACGTAAAATGACATTAGCGTCGATTGTATATAATAATTTATCGTAACGAAATGAGAACAGCTACATTCCTGTGTTGCAATGATTACTGAAATCAGAAGAAAGCATACAGTACAATCAAAATATCGAGACGAAAATAGAAGATGCGGCGATATTAATGGTACAGATACGTGGAAGTCGATTATTCCTCGTTCAAAAGTATGATAAATTGTAGAATAAATTTTTCTAAAATTCTCTGCAAACTTCTCATTTTCGAGACGATTAATTTTCATCGTTCGCGAGATTTAAGATTCTTGCAAAATTTAGATATTAAAAGTGTTGATAAAATGAGTCGAGCTGTTGTTTAGTCTTTCAAGAGGCCAGTCATAGATGCGAAGAAACACTTTGAACAAATTTTCATTCAAAAGATGAATGAAATTAGAATAACAATAATGTTTATTTCAAGAACGAAATCTGTCACGAGATAAAAATTCCTACAATATTTACTCCATTTTGTATCATCAATACTGCCGTGCTGTGTCTGAAGAAAGTAATCAACCAAAAAAAAAAAAAAATCAAAAAATGCTTATTAATAACATTTTCATAGAAAACTTCGAAAATCTATCTTCAAAGGATAACAAAGAGTATCGTTTTATCGCAACGATCCTGTGCAGTTGAAATAATTCAACGTACAATTATTATCAAAATGAATGCCAATATATAGCAGATGTCCTGTTCGAAACAGTTAAGCTATATTCCAAACGACAGAGGGTTAGCGTAATTCAGCAAACAAGGCGGTAGGTGTGCTTGCAAACGGGATGAAATACGTGCGAACGAAACACTTGGCGGTGTAACGTCTTGCGAGATAAACTATCGCCCCATTTATTGCATCTCGTGGCGAAAGTTTCACGGTATAAGGGGGTATAAAGAGGGAAAATGATCGCGAAACGACGTCACGCTATGGTTGGTCCGATTAATCGTTTCTCGAAATAGCGAAAATAACGGTGGATATTGTGCGGATCAGCGTCTCTCAAATTAATTGCATTCAACAGGTGGAATTACATAACGAATTAACACGTGACGAATCAATACGAGGAAAATAAATGTTCTATATTTGTGGAAAAGTGTGATCGTAAATATGATAATTATTCGTGACCGATTTTCTTAACGTTGGTTTTGTGAATTTTCCTTGTCAACGCAGTATGTCAGTTGGAAACTTTTTTATAAACAGAGACAATAGAACAATTCGTATCGTTAGAAAAGAAATACTACTGAACTGCTAGAATTATTAAGAATATTAAATTTGAATTTTTAACGTGAAATATTTCGAATTAAAATTTTTGGTCCCCTGTATAATACATCGCGAATGTGTTTTTAATTCTAACCATTAAATTTGATCAGACAGTAATAGTTTTTGAAATTTTTACTTTAGTTATCTTTTTCAGCCAAATTGTATCTTAAAACGCGATCTAAATTAATTTGAGAAACGTTCTGGTTGATGCTTAGAATGAGACATGATAAAGCATTTGTGCTGACAGTAATTAGAAATTATATAAGCGATGATTTACTGGAAACACGTTGCACCGGCTCAGGCAAGATATGAATCAGCACTTGTTTGTGTATTTAGCGCGCATTTCTCAATGCAGCAAGCGAGGGAACGTAACAGCGATTCCACTGCGGTGCCAAACAATAATTTGTTGAAATGTTCCTAACTCGTTTCGTATACGCGATGTCGCGAGAGTGTTAACAAATAGGTCTCTAAGCATTAATTTTTATTGTCTTCGCATGTATTCACGTATCACCGTCGAATACCGAACTGCTCCGCATTTTATAACCGTGGAGCATATTTTTGTAAAAAAAAAAAGCCGACAGAAAAAATAATAAGCAAAGCAACGTGTAAATGTGATAATATTTAATCGAATTGTACGCCCACTAAGCGATCTATAGCGTTAAAATGCTCGAAAAATGTGTAACTGTGTTACGTAAGATGAAACGTCTCATAATAAAAACAAAAGTATTGCTAATTGTACGCGATTGCTGGATCTTCTTTACTTCGTTCTACTTGTTTATTTAACGTTTTTATTACGTGTACAGGAAAGAATAGTGCACACAGTAAATTAGTAGATGTTATTAACACGTAAAAGTGATACAAAGTCATAACCATTCTTTTTCATAAAAACCTAACCTGCTTAAGTAAAGAAGAGAAAAGAAAGAGAAAAATAATAAGAAAACGGAAAATATATACGTATGTAAAAGAGTGCTGGGTAAATAAGAATAGAAAATGATTAACAGAAGAAAAAGATAAAGTACTAAAAATAAATAAAAGATTTTAAATATTAATAACAAAATACAATTAATAAAAATATGATTTACTAACCTGTCAAATTTTATACAAGAGGAAGTACATAATAAGTAGATACCCACGCAAAATGATATACCAAGACAGTTTAATTACGTACCTTTTATCTATTGCCGTAAGCAAATCAGCTTTTATACATAAATTAACATATTATTAAATATTATTAATCGGTTCTCGAATGTATTTGATACATTTGAATTCTTTGCTGTTTTTAACGTATTCCGTGTTCTACAGATAGATGTCGCATTCGTAATCGGTGTGTTCGTTCATATGACGAGTGTCACTAGCCATAGGGACTTTTAGTAGAACGTTGGGCGTGCTGCCGACTAGTACGGTACACTAGTCTTATGCGATTTTTGTCATACGGTCTGAAATACGACGTCGGCCTGAACTAATGGTTTTGAAGCGTACTTCCACTATTAAGAGCGGTGATTTTAAAAACTGCTTCGAGCAAAACAATCGATGTCCGTCAGAAAGTAAATACGGAAAGTTGTTGTCCCAGACGAGATTATGTGTGTATATTGTTACTGCGTTGTCGATACATTCTATGACCCCGAAACGCAAATGCGTGCGTCTGAATCCATTCTGATTCGTATTAAGAGTGCATATTATTTTGGATTATATGAAACTATAGATTCTTTATACCAAAACAAATCAAAAATTCCTGTACCATTTTACAATCTGCGGTTTCGTTTTCGAGGTATAAGAAATTAAAGATTGACCTGAGGATATATTGTCTGACAATAGAAACGCACTGACACAGGGATACACGTTTGAATGTGAGCTATATGTCAGTAATAAACAATATCCGTTACATTACGATTTGTTAAATCGCAATGTGCGTTTTTAATACATGCAATATAAAATAATATGATATACATTGTATGTATGCCTAGATACAAGATTTCCCGCGTAAAAATTTTCACTCTCTACGCACTTGCGTCACACGTGTAATTGAATTGAAGGCACTCGAAATTTTGTTTCCTTCACTATTTAATGCCTATCACTGTTCTTGATTTTAATTCCTATCACTAATAATGCAATGATTTAATACCAGTCCTAATCAATATAGCAGAATGTGTCACTGTGATAACAAGGCTTTAGAGCCCCGGGAGTATGTAACAAAAAATACATTGAATGAGTGATCTAGTCTGTGCCAATAGCGAGAGAAGCGCCTCCAGATAATAAAGAACATACTCGCAAAAAAGTGTGGTTATTTACCCTAGACTTAGCCACACCACAGACTTCATATACTATCGTTAGTCAACGGTCGATTTGTACATGCATAAAGTTAGTAGCGAGCTGCAAATTCTGAAAGGAGTATCGTAGAAATTTTTATTGTAAAAATTAGAACATAATGGCGAGGATACCAGCTATGAAAGAATCTTTGGATAAAGTATTACACGATGATAGTAGAATATGGACTAAATACCTCGCGAAAATCGAGAAAAGTACAAAAGTAGATCGACTTTACGTTTTTTTAGGTATGAAGGTTAAAATTATTTTATAAATTTACTATAACAGTTTTTGTCGTGCCTGCTTGAATTGATTCATTTCCGTTTTACGTAACGAGAATCTGCCGTAAATTTCCTCTACAAATACAGCAATTCCACTGTGATATTCGATTTAAACGTAAAAATTTCTAAACTGCATGCGTATATCATTCTATTATGCGAATTCCATTATATCTCAACATTATCATAGAACCTTGACAACGCGGTTATTTTGCTGGACAAAGTTTCGATGAAACGTTCAATGATAATTGAATATTTATCACGATGACGATAACGCAGTCGTAAACATTTATTTTTCTTCAGTATGCAACAATTTATTATTTTATAATAAAATCTATATACTTCATGTATATGCGTCATTTACAGTACTCGATTTTAGCAAATATTTCGATAATATCCTTTGCAATTTTTTAGGTATTGTTGGATTATCAGCTTTATATTTAATATTTGGAGTTGGTCAACAGTTAGTATGTAATATTTTTGGATTTGTATATCCGGCCTACTGTTCAATGAAGGCTTTAGAAAGTCCAAAGAAGGAAGATGATACAAAGTGGCTGACGTATTGGGTTGTCTTTGCAGTTTTCACAATTGTGGAATTTTTTTCGAATTTTATTTTAAGCTGGTTTCCAGTTTATTGGCTCTTTAAGGTATGACTATATTCCAACCAATATGAATAGTAAATTATTCATATTTTTAACATAATTAATTTCCTCAGTGTGCCTTTTACATGTGGTTAATGGCACCTATTGAAAAGAATGGTTCCAAATTTTTATACCTCTGTGCTATTAGACCAGCTTTTCAACGATATCATGGAAAAGTTGATAAATTTATATCATCTGCTCAAGATGCAGGTACATTTATAATAATGAGATATAATGTGTGATTAATGCTGACCATATTTTACTATAAAATATTTTTATTTCAGCTGTAAAAGTTGCAACAAATTCTTTGCTGTCGGAGAAGAATGATTAATTT